GTGGGGGAATGAGCCTTTGTTTCTGTTGAGGTGGCAGAGGCAATCTTGCGGGAGCCCCCCTCCCTGGATTCTCATTCCTAACTCATTTGGCTGCAATTTGTACTGCCAAGGTCATTGAAACAGGCGGCAAGACGTGGTGAATGTGTTCCCAGAGGTCATGAAAAGCCTCTTTAGCAGAGCAGGCTGGGCTGTGCTTAAGCCAGGTCATTTAAGCACATTTGTACTGCCAGTCAGATGATACCCAGAGCAGTGGATGGTTTTGTAATAAACCCTGCAACCTGGGCCTGCAGCGTGTGCCACAGTGGGATCCAGCACTCGGCTTTAAAGGACAGTGCAGTAATTCAGTACTTTAATAGTGCGCTGCCCTTAAAATGTGTGAACAGGAGTGAGATTATCAAACCCTAGTGAATTGTCTGGGTTCCTCAGCACCAGCCCCATCCCCACCCCCCTTTTCATTCTCTAGACTGCTTCATTCATGTGGGATATCAGCCTTGTATTCAGCTCCTGGTGTTGAAGTAGTGCCATTTTTAATAGATGGTTTAGAGAGTTTCTCCAAATCAGATTTTATCCCCTTCTTTTCCCATATCTATTCTCCGTGGAGATGAATTAACCTTTTATCCTAGGAGGAAGTAAATAGAGACAGCATGATGGCAAGATTAGCAAAGACATCATTTCAGCCAGATACTCCAAGGCTGCAGACTGAGAGTCAGAGTTCCTGGGTCTGTCTGGAGCTCTGCTGCTGTCCCTGCCTGGCTGTGGCCAAATCCCTTCCTTCTCCCCCTCTTTCACTTTTCCTGCCACGTTAATGAGCACTCTGTGTTAACCTATAGCATTTTACCTTTCAAAGGACCAAGCAAACCTTTAAAAGCAGTGTGATCCCCACTCAGCCTGCCAGCAGCATTTCTGTGTGCGTGGCATGTCAGGCTCTTGAACTTGGAGATTTTCTCTGTCTGAAGTTTGAAGTGTGACAGCTCAGAGTTAAACTAATCCAGGTTGAGTGAAGCTACAAAATACAGCTCTTGGATATTTTACTTACCCCCAAATTCTGGTGTAGGTGGAGGGCTCTTTCTTTCCTCAAATACCTAGATACAACCTGGGAAAAAAACTGGAGGAAATCAAGGATTTCAAGTTCCTGAATTCAAGTCTTGGTTAGTGAGTCTCCCAGTCCTGGGAAGCAAATCACTTCCTCCTAAAGCAGCAGCTGCTGTGACCCAGCTGTGATGCAGGGGATGGGAATCTCTTTGCCAGTGCCGTGCTTTCTGTGGGTACATTTTATTATTATTTCTGTGGATACATTCTATTAGCCCCTCTTCCTGTGTTTTTGCTTATGCTTTATTCTCTACATTTATTTTGTGCCTGTGTGTATTTTGTTTCGTAAGACAAATGTGCTACTTTTAAAGAGGCATTTCATAACCTTTAATCAAGATCATACTTTATTTTCATCACATTTGTGTTTATATTATTACAAGCCTTTTGGGTCTTAACATCTTGTAGCCTCAGCATTAATGTTTTGGCTGATATATAAATAAATGTTTGACTTTAACTCTTTAAAAAATCCTGGCTTGGGAAAAAATCCACCTTATCAATGTCATCTTAGAATAGCTGCATTTCAAAAAAAGGCAGGGACCAATCAATGCTTTCTCTAATAAAAACTGAGTGCAGGGAGTAATTCTAGATTCTGTGATCCACTGCATAAAATCAAATCTCCTGGCTGCTGAAAGATACCATCTACCTGAAGGGAAGATGCTACATCTGGGCTTTATCTTTTATGTCTCTTACTTGCCCGAGCAGTTTGGCATAACTGGGAAAACTCTGCTAATCTGTAATGTGGCAGAATGTTAGCTGGGAGATTTTATGGTTAAAAAATAAAGGTGGACTAGCATCTAGTTCTTATTGGGGTTACACAGGCTCAGATCAGTAATGAAGACAGCACAGTTCTTGGTTTAAGCTGGAAGAGGGGAGGACTCTGAATTGATGGCTGCAGAAAGGGAAGAGAGTAACTTGTTTCACTGGCTGAAGATCCTAACAGTCATCTTCACACTTAGCACAATTGTATGTTATTACTTGTCCTCCAGATATTTTTTAGAGTCCTTTGGAATAAATCAGTGTAGTTGCACTATTGTAAAGGAAATGACTGAAGTTATTACCAAATCCTGATGCAACGCAGGATTTTTAATGCATTTGACTTCCAGCGAGGATTTGAGAATGCTCTTGGAAATAACAGAAGTAAAAATGTTATGAAGACCAAACAGTGAAGTAGTATCATTTTGTAAATATATATAATAGCTGAAAATTGTTTACTTATCCTCCTTTATGAGAAGCAAGCTTCTGTGACCTCCGATTAATTTACCATTAGCCTGAGCACACAATGAAAGTGAATGAAGGGGCAATTTGGAATGACATTTATCAGCTCTGGAGCTGTCGGCTTCTATTATTTCCACAAGGCCTTCTATTTCTTGGCTTCAGAGAAGGCTGTGCTGACTTGAATGAAGAGGAGCATTCGTACTCCCAGGAATAGTTGCAGCAAAAACAGCCTCATTGCTTGATGCCTACAATGGGGAAAAACCAGTGGCGTTAAATGAGAGCAGAGCCACCCTTGAGCAGTGGACTTGGACAGGACCTTGCCTTCACACCAGGTTAAAAAAAGGGAACAGAAGAGCTGAGAGAAGGGAGAGGATGTAAGGGGAGGGAAGGAAACAAGCTTTATAGGGATAGGATGGCTGAGGGACTGAGGATGAGGCTGAAAAGCCTTTCACACTGGGATGTGGGTTGGGACCCACGCTGCCTTTGCCATGGTGGGAGCCATCCCCACCAGGACTTGCTGCTGAGCTGCTGCTGAGCTGCTGCTGTGTCTGATTTCTCTGGGCAGAGAGCACTTGGCACCTTTCTGCTCCATATCTGACACAGATCAGCCCCTTCTGGTGAGACTTCAGCAGAGGTCAAGAATCCAACATGGGGGGACCAAACCCTCTTGGGCTGAGCTCAAAATCTGTGGGCAGGTTTGCTTTGCTGCTCAGGCCGAGTTCCAGATAAATACCTGGCTTGGCTGTTCAGGCATCCTTGTCTGGCACGGGGTTGCTGTCCTTGGTTGCTTTGTTGGCTCATTTGTACTCAAAACTTTAATGCAACTAACTCAGTACCAATTACACAACACTATAGTTGGAATGTTGTGAGACTTCTTTATTTTTTAATTGAAATCAGGGGAGCAGCGAAGCAAGTCCCCTTCCATTTGGCTGGTATTTTATTTTATTCTAATTTTATCTTTATCTGTTGTATTCTACTACAATGGATTTGTATTTCTGTAAAGTAACAAATCCCTTCTAAAAATGTCGAATGCCAGTTTTACTGGTGACATTTTGAACCCTGCAGCCTAAATCTCCTGGGAGATCAGCAGAACTCTGCCATCTAGGTACCTAATTCGCCTCTGGGAGTATAGTATGCAGGCTCCTAGGGCAATTCTGTGCACTGATTTTTTCCCATTTGTTTTATGCACAAGTTGCCTCCAGGATGGCTTCAGCATCACTTTAAGGATGACAGCTTTGTCCACTATGCCTCTCATAACATTTATCTGCTATGACTGTCACAAAACTGTAGAACTATAACCAAATGTAGAAATATAATCACACATAACAAAGGTGCTTTGCTCAGAGGCAATGGAAAAGTTGCATGACAGAGCTTTGCAGAATTTGTCTTTATGTTTGGAGACATCTCCATCGTAGTTGCACGAGTAATAGCAGCTGTAAAATTCCTACTTTCCTGTGTGGAAGAGAATCACATTACATGATAGTTACAGAGATTCAGTGGTAACAGTAAAACACTCAAACACCAAAAAAAAACCCCACAAAAACCAAAAGCTGACTCTATCTCGCTCAGGTTTGCATAGCTGTAAGTTAGTCAAGAATAATTCTATAAAACTAGATGTAGGTACAGTTTGGGGAGGCCAGAATCAGTTTCCTCAGTGCCTAGAGCTGGAGCCCAGCTGTCTGTGAAGCACTCCTTGTAGCTAAAAGATGACTTCCCTGAGTCATAGTGCCAGACAATGACAAGCTATTATGTGATGATTTGATCTAATATCACATCCATTAGTTCTGCTTATTTAAAAGTCAGTTAAAATCACTTCTAAAATGTTCACCCTGTAGAAAATCCTTTTCTCCCTTCTCTGTTAGGTTTTTTTTTCTTTTTCCTATTGTATTTTACTTTCATCGAATAAAAACACATTACTTGGCATTTTAATGTTTTTTATAGCACTGTCTGTCACGCTTGTCTGTAATCAAGCCAGGTTTAGGAATAATTCCATTACCCTGCAAAAAATGTCACCCAATTTTTCTATTTTCACATAATAACAATCATTGCTGAAATCTAGAAGTTCAGCTTTGCGCCAGATAAAAACATCTGGGGGTGTGTGCAGAATTATCCAGGTTACTGTGTCAGGTTTTGTTAAGGTGGAAGAGAAGTATTCATTTCCTATGGTGTTTTTGTGTTTGGGATTCTAAGTCTGGGAAGTTCGGGGGAAAATACAAGTTAAAACAAAAGAAAAACCAAAGAAAAGGCACACCAAATAAAACAAACAAAAAAACACATAAAAAAAAGAATGGAACCCCTATTCACTTGTTTGCCCAGTTTGGCTAGTGGTGGTTGAGTGTTAAGTGAAGATGGTCTTCAGTTTTTACTTCATCAATGCATACAAGATCCGAAATAAGGTACAACTGTGAAATTGCTGTTTATTTTCACGACAGAAGCGAATGTCTCGTTGATGGGAATAATTTCTTCAGAGACAGAGTGGATGATGTTCTCTGACCATGTCACACTAATTTTCCAGTTTATCAGTCACTGCAGTTCCAAGCTGGAGTGACAAGCTGGTATCACATCTGATCTTCCTGCGTGTGATAGCAGCTCTCAGGTTCGGGTCCATGGGAGCTGCAGCAGCCCCTGCCTTGGCTGGGCAGAGCTGGGCCAGCAGCACTTGGGTGATAACATCTCTGTCTCCTCTGCCTCCACAGGATGAAGTGGCCCAGCCTCTGAACCTCTCAGCCAAACCCAAGACATCTGATGGCAAATCTCCCACGTCCCCCACCTCTCCTCACATGCCAGCCCTGAGAATAAACAGCGGGGCCAGCTCACTAAAGTCCTCGGTGCCAGCAACACTAGCCAGTCCTTCGGCCAGAGCCAACACAATAGGTGAGCTGAGCCCTGTGTGTCCCACTCAGTGCCCTGTGTGTGTCCCACTCTGTCCTGTGTGTCCCCCCAGCCCCGTGTGTCCCCCTCAGAACAAGGGTAGCTCCTGTGGGGAAGGGTTTTTATCAGCCCTGCCCAGTGCTGCCCAGGGTGTCCATGATGCTCCAGCTGGTTGGAGTGGGTGCAGAAACTCAAGAGACTTTCCTTTCAGGAGGGGTTTCTTAGCTTTCACAGACTAAGAAAACGAAGGCCTGTGTTACTTCAGATGCTGCTTTAACTTCTGATAAATGCTGGTTTTTAATGGCACACATTAATACAGCATTTATCCACAGTGACCTGCTGATGGTGGGCACTGGAGACCCTTGATATTGTACCCAGTCATCTAATAGTGATGCATGAGCTTTCAGAAACATCTCTTAAAGTTAAAAGTCTACATCTTTCCAAAATTACAAGTTTGATTCTCAGTCCATCCAAATCCTGGATGCAATATTATTTCACCTTGGTGTAATAAGCAAAACAATCACCAGGTTCACTCAAGAAAACCCCAGATTTGTTGTTCTGTGTTGCAAAGAAAGTCTTGACTGGTTGTTTCTAACATCATTCCAGAAAATAGTGATAGTTCCTCCTCCTGCCAAAATGATGTCTTTGCCTAAGGACCATCTAAATAGTAACAGTCTTACAGGTAATTTCATGAATCTCATGTGTTATAGGGACTGTCCTCTGTGTGTGTAAGGAAAATGTGCCCACACCCATTCCTGATTCTTCCAAATGAAATGGTGTATTCCATGCAGGGATTGAGTATAACCTGGATCAAGGTTCCATTATGTAAACCAAGCTCTGTTTTGGGAAATGAGTGAGGCAGATGTACTACTTCTGCTGTCTCCTAGAGCATCTCCTGCCTGGCCACTTTCAGGGGTAGCACAGAAAAGCCCAAAAGAAGCCCTAGGTCAAACCTGTCAGAAGCTGTGTCTGTGATACAGCAGTGCTGTGCAGTAATGTTTATTTGGTATGACACATTACAGTCATATAAATATTTTTTAAATATCACATTACTAATTGTTAATATCTGTATTGTTATTAACCCTACATTCTTTGACTGTGATGCACAGTAATGTATTTTATATTCAGTTTGCTTGACCCTGGTGCTCTCCATGCACAATGCATTGAATTTCATTTTTTTCACATTAGATTTTTGTCCTTAAGTAGAGGGAACATTGTATTTCCCTGGGAAGTTAAGCATCTGACTCACATTTCAGTGGCAAGGCACCTCTTGTTCTCCCCTCTCCAATCCTCTTTCCCTGCACACCTGCTATTTTCCATAGGTTTGAGACCCCTGCAATTTACTCCTTCTAACAAGGTGCACATTTTGAAATGCTGTACCTTTAATGAGTGATAATGTAATTGGATAAAAGCTGTGAGGATGAACAGAGCTTTAAAGGTCACTCTTGTAAGAAGAATTAATGTGTTATACCATTAATAAACCATGGAAAACTGTGGAGCAAAAGATAACATATTTAAGTTATTGTTAATGACACAGAGTTCACTGCTGTATATCTCTGCTACAAATATAGAAAGTGACTTTTTGAGGTTGCAGAGCAGTATCACTGTGCATGCTGTATGTGTAAGATAAGCTGTCTTTAGCTGGTGCTGGATGGACACTGCTAGCAAAGGTTTATCCTTAATGGAGGACTGCAAGAAGGAAAAGCTCCTGAACTCTCTGCTAGGTCAGATCCAGCCCAATCACAGCAAGCAGGGCTTGTGGCCATGGTGGAACTCTGGTGGGCTTGGGTGAAATCCCACGTCACCCTCCAGCAGGAGCACACCAGGAGAAACTTGGGAGTGTTTTCAGCAAAGCTACCAAGGTCCCTGATGTGGCAGGGGAGCTGGATCCCTTTCTCATGCTGAGGGATAAATCCCTCCACAGAGCCCCTGGGAAGCACCCAGCCCCTTGTCAGACACCTCCAGGCCTGCAGTGGTGGAGCTGTCACTGTGACCGTGCTCACAGGGGTCCCAGGGTGAGGGAAGAGACAGGGGAGATCTGACTCCGTGTTTCAGAAGGATGATTTATTATTTTATCATATATATTACATTAAAACTATACTAAAAGAATAGAAGAAAGGATTTCATCAAAAGGCTGGCTAAGAATAGAATAGGAAGGAATGATAACAAAGGTTTGTGGCTCGGCTCTCTGTCCGAGCCAGCGGACTGTGATTGGCCATTAATTAGAAACAACCACACGAGACCAATCCCAGATGCACCTGTAGCATTCCACAGCAGCAGATAATCAATGTTTACATTTTGTTCCTGAGGCCTCTCAGCTTCTCAGGAGGAGAAATCCTAAGGAAAGGATTTTCCATAAAAGATGTCTGAGACGTGTCAGCACGAGGCACAGGCTGTCTGTCCTGGGTGTGCACAGCCCTCCTTGCTGCATGCACCTGGGCTGTCCTGGCTCAGCACCCCTAACTGCAAATTATGTGCCTTTGTACCACCCTAAGTGCAAATTAAGCTTTCTCTGTGCACAACCATCCTTGGCTCCCCTAGCAATGAGAAATTCTGTGTATTGCTCAGCTTTCAGTGGGGACACGAGCCCAGAGCCTCAGGGATTATCAGCAGGGCTGCACTCAGGCATTGCAGCTCCTCAGTCCTTTCCTGAGCCATCCCCACAGCACAGAAATGGTGCTACAGACTGAGCAGTCACAAATGTCATGGCTCCATGGATGACTTTAAATCCAAGCTTTTCTTTTTGGGAGCAGGCATATGTCCGTGTACTAAAAACAGAAACAACTTCTCCCTGCTCTTTGCCATTATCTGCAACATCTCTGTGCTAGTTTGGCAATCCTTGGAACTAAGTTCATTTTATGAAATGCAGTTCCCCTCTCTGTCAATAATTCACCACCTACCCTAAACAACAATAATTTACATTCAACTCGCTTCTATATTAATCATTTCCCTGCACACCAGCATCTTGGCAGCTACTGAAAAACATAAGGAGTGCTTGCTTTTATTCACTGTCATGTGCCAAACTGTCTCAAAGATAGCAGTATTCAGGAAAAGCCAAATAGTCTGGAGAAGGGCATGAATTCCAGCTCCTAGGCAAACTTGGCTCTGTTACAGACTGGAAGTATTATACCTAGACAACAGCAAAAGCAGCACTAATACTGCTGTTTGTTTGTTTATTTGCTTCCTTTTTAATTTATTCTGACTACATGCAAGGTTGATCAGATGCAAAGGTTAACAGATGCAAACTGGGGAAGAAACCAGGCAAGTTGGTAAAATGAAGATTAAAAAAAAAAAAAAGAAAGAAAAATCAGCTATATTCTTCCTTATGGTCGAAAAACTGGAATTACAGGAATTCCATTGGCTGGGAATTACTGAACTGGGTCATTTGATAAAAGCAACGTGGATCAAGTTGTTTCACACAAAATTCTCAGGGTTCCTGGGGTTTTAGCCAAAAGTTAGCTGTTACTACAATTAGCAACAGTCAAACTGCACAGGAACTTTTCTCTCTAGCTGCTGTTCTCCAAGGAAGATGGGAGTATCAGTCCCACTCTGTCCACAGTCAAGAAAAACCAACAATAAAACCCCAGACCAAGCTAAAATCCTGACAGCAGCACAGCACTGAACTAATCTGACATCAGCTCCTTCCCCAGAAATGTTCCAAGCAAGCAGCAAGACAATGTCCTGCGTTTTTGGCAATCAGCAGATCAGATAGAAGAGTCTAGCAATACAACAGGGATGTGTAATCTGACATGATTAGACAAGGCTCTTTAGGAACAGAACATTCATAATTGAGACAAAGAAAGAGTATTAATAACACTTTCCTAACACGGCAGTTAGCCATTTTATATTTCCTTTCTTTAATCTTAGTGTTTTTCAACAAATCATGGGATTTAATAGCGTGTTTTGGCAGATTAGAGGATTTATGGCCCAGATGTTTTTTGTTCTAAAAATGGATTAGGGTGTAAAGTTTGCTGGAATCCATGGAACATGTTGAGGCAAGCCGGTCATTTTGTGTGTGATTAGTGCCTGCCTTCTGTCTCACAGTCCCTCCATCTGTCACAATTCACCAATGGATCTGGTTAGATTTAGCCTCATGTCACAAACAGAAGTCCCTTTTCTGGGCAATTTCATATTACAGATTCATTTTATGCCGTTTTTATGCCCTAGTTAAAAGACAGAAAGAAGTGTGTGTGAGTGTGTGTGTGTGAGCGTGTGTGTGCACACATGTGGGGATGTGCAGGGGGAGAGGGAGGTTGATAGATATTAGCCTCTACTTTAATATATGAGAAATAGACTGGGGCTTGGAGTCTCCCATCAGTATTCTACCCTACAAATCACATGCAGATCATAATAAGTATAATCTACGGTACGCTAAAGGAAAAAAAATGACAAAGTGTCACATTTAAAATTAAATAGTATTAGCTGGGCCGGTGATGCTTGTAACATTTTAAAAGGAAATAATTCAGTGACTACTAAGGCTAAGCCCTAGGCTGTGAATTTGCAGCAAAACAGTGGACATTTGACCTGCTATTAGCAGCATGAATAGGAGTGGCAATGTAGGTCCGTGTAGCTGTGGTTCCTTGTACATTTATGAATGACAGGTGGTGGTGGGGAGTGTTCAGTGGATGAGGTTTTTCTTCCCAGCCATTATGCATTTCATATGTATAGCAAACCACCGCCACCTGTGGTTTATTTTAATGTATTCACAAGTTGGAGAAGGGGAAGAATGGAACGGTCGGTTTTGAAGAGTTTGGGATTGCTGGCGTGATCAGAGCTTCCCCTGACTCGTACCCAGCTCCATCCTGCTGCATCCAGAGCACAGGGCCAGCCTCTGCAGTGTCAGGGAAATATTGAGACTGATGGGATCAAATAGCAGCAGTGAGCATTTTGGCACTGAGGCTTTCCAGGCTTTGTGTCCAGGTGGCTCTATCACAACAGCAGCACAATTGTAGAGCACACGCAGGTTGGTGGGCATTTTAACTCTTTCCCATTAATGATGATAAACTGCATCCCCCTGGTGGGAGCTGAAGTATTTTGCTGTGACTTTCTGGTTTTTAAGGCACCCTTTCTTGTGTCCATGCCAGGTTATTTAAATGACCACGACGCTGTCACCAAGGCCATCCAGGAGGCGCGGCAGATGAAGGAGCAGCTACGGAGGGAGCAACAGGTGCTGGATGGGAAGGTGGCCGTGGTCAACAGCCTGGGTCTCAATAACTGCAGGACAGAAAAAGTGAGTTCCCCAGACTCCTTCTGCAAAGGGTCACAGTGCTCGGTTGCCTCTCCCCACAGACACACAGCTTCTTCCTCCCTTCGCATCCTCCTTCTTCTTATTCTGTTTTTGAAACAGAGTAGTTCAAAAAAAGTGAAAAGCCGAAAGATGACATGACAGAGGGACCTGAGACCCCTGGGGGAGAGTGGGGAGGAGGCAGAGATGGTTAAAGCCCTCACGAGAACTTTGGAGACCACTAATTCTCTGTTCCAGCCTGTCAACATGTATTAAGAGAAGGTGATCTTGGAAATCTCTGGGTCTAAGTGGAAATCTTGCTTTATGGAAATGCTTACATGTGTTTGTGAGATGAGCTGGATTTGAAAATATTCAAGCTTCTTTAGGAACATAAGCTTTGCTGATACTCAGGCTCAGCTTCTGGGTATTTAGCCTCGTGAGGTCGTCATAGATGATATTTTGTGACCATTGCAATGTAGCACTGTCACGTCACGTTACATGACTGAACAGAATTGAAAAGCAGAGAACTGACAGCACAAACTGCACCAAATATTTGCAGTGAAACTTAGAGGCAGCAGAATGTATGGGCCTTACCACTGTCTGCTCTTGGCCTGGCCCATGAAGCTGTGCTGTAACAAAATACCAACACAGCTGGTACTCTCTAGTGAACTTTGTGTGTGCTCCCACTGCCGTGCCTGTCAGTGAGGTTGTGGGTTGCTTCTGTCCTCAGTGAGTGCCTCATGTCTCTGTGTGCACCTTATGGAGGATAAACAGACCTGCCAGTGCTTGCTGCCACATTCCCTGTGAGCTGTCCTTACAATGCTGCCACCCAGGATACACAGCTCAGCTCTGCTCTCAGCTCAGTGGGCTTAGCAAGGCTTCCCCTGCTCCTCTCCTTCCCTGCTGTATTTTCTGGGCTGATACAGTACAAGGATCCCCTTGTCACATTTGGTGTCAGCTGCATTTAACTGAGAGCACTTCCACTGTAAGGTCTCGAGCAGTTCACTGAGACGAGCCGACAAATGGATTGAATAAAAATGATCAGCTATTTAGCAGAAACTTGAAACCCAGTCATCCCGGGAAGCTTGCGAGTCAAACAATATTGTCCAGAACGAGCAGATTGCTGATTTGGATGGCTTTCCATTGTGCCTGGTTTGAGATGGAGTTTGATCAATAAGCTGTGAGAAGCCAGCAGCCTGTGTAATGAATGTTAAGTGTCCGCGTGAGCCTCTCACCGCTGCACTGTTGTTTCCATCGGCCTGTCCCGGGTGCCAGCGATGTCGGAGTGACTCCAGTTCCATCCCTTTCTGGAGAGGAAGGGGAAAAGAGGTCAGTGTAGTGGGTATCTGGCAGTACCTCCCCTCTATCTCAGGGGAGCCAGGGTGCTGCTGTGGGGAGAGAGAGAGGGCAGCAGCATGTTTATGGCGTTCCACAGAGAAGAGCACCAGAAGGGAAAAGGGAAAAGCAGAGTGTCAGATATAAGAAGAAGTGATCACAAGCACAAAGGAATTTATATTCAAATATTTAAGCATTCTTGAAAGGATGCTCGGAGCAGAAATTCCTTTTCTGTGCTCCCCATGTAGAAATGACTTTAACACTCAGGCAGATGCTAATGCAAAGTGACTCCAGCTATTCCTCGCAAGCATAGCTAAATTGCCCTTATTTGTTAAGCGCATTGAATTCAGCTGTGGATACAGCAGTTGGTTGCATTCAGAAAGCATCTGTACCCTTTTTTTCTTTTTCCTTTTTTTTTTTTTTAAATCCTCCAAAGCAGAGACAACTCTACCTATCTCCCCCCTCTCCTCCCTTGTGCTGGCTGGGAATTGTCAAGTGACAACCGACCAAATCCTTTTGGACAGGAAGCCTTCATCCTGAGTTCTATATACTTGCAAAGCAGGCCTTGTGGTTGGATCAGGAAGCCCATTAAAAGCACTTTGATGGTATGGAAATTCATCTTCATGAAGCACCCAGGCCCCTAAGCAGCGTGCTGTTTAGCTGTGGTTACAGATCAGTCATTCACATCGGAGGGCAGTAATTGTGCTGACGGCTTGTTCGGCAGTGGAAGCACATAAAATAATCCCAGGCCCTCCACCATGGCATTGCCAGTTAATCTTCTTTAATACAGATCAGCTGTTGTTCTAACACATGACTTTATGCTGGCTCTAGTGACTCTGCACAGCCTTTTGATTAAGTAACAGGAGTGGAACCATCTGCATTCACTTTATTCTGTTACTTTCCTATTCTTGGGATTCTCCTTATTCCTTCTGTTTTCACTTCACACCCTCAACCTCAGCTGAAGTTTATTTTCCTCTCTAATTCATACCTCCTGCTAGGCTCGTGGAGGGCAGACAGGAGTCCTTTTACAAGGTAGCAGGGAGAAAAAATGGTTTGCTCAATAGAGAATTTTTCTAAAGCAGCTGTAGGCTTTGGGGGTTTGGATACAATTAATGCCAGAACTTTATTGGGGCTTGCTGATTTGAACTCGATGATCTCAGAAATGTTTTCCAGCCTAATTGATTCTGTGACTTATTTTAATATGTGAAGTTTACATCCAGACAAACAATCCAACTTCTCTAAAGTTTGTGTATTTTTTGCTCTGGGACATTAAGGTTTTCTTACTAAGAGCAAGATTTGAGAGGAAAGCGAGTATTGCCATTTTAAATTAAACTTTATTCTGGTTCTCTCTGTTTTCAGAGGCAGAGAATGAGATAGCTGGGAATTTGGTTGGCAAGAAACAGGGCTACAGTTTTTTTACAGAGTTTCCCTTTTCAGCAGGTCAAGGTCCCACCACAGGACTTAGTGGCAGCCCCTGATCTTTGCAGACATCGTGTCTGTCACTTTTGCTTCCTGACCAGAGACTTGGAGATGGGGGTGGTATTAAGATGTAATAATTTTATTTTATCCTAATATATATCTGTGTATTCCTGTGTGTATTAGCACTTAGAAATGCACATTAGTATTTATAGGTAACAGACACTTGTTGGGGCTATCCCAGATGTTTCTCCCTTCTTTGCTGCAGTGGGTAGTGTACTTTTGGAGACCTGTGATTCCCCGTTGAGCTTTTTGTGGCAAGAATTGCTTCTGCAGCCTTCCAGTGAGAGGGCTCTGTGCCATTCCCAGCATTTATGGGAGACTCTTTGTGGGGATTTGTCTGCCAGGGGTAGCTGGGCAGGCTTGGGGCTGGAAATCATCTTTGGGAGTCTCTGCTGAAGCTCTCTGGGCTCCTCAGATGTGTCCTGTTTTCTTGCTGATGTTCCCAGAAGGGTTGATCCCTGTGGACAGCCAGACGTGCCAGCTAAGGCAGGAGTCAGACAGGAATTTGTGCAAGTAGAGAGAAGCTGTGTAAAGGGAGTCATACATAAGAAAAGACTTTTAAAAATGGCTAAGATGATTTGGGTGAGTCACTTTTTGGGCATCCAACTTGGACCATCTTGACAGCTTTGATTTTCAGAGGATTACAGTAAAAACTTTGAGCATCACTATGAACACGGATTTCACTAAAACCTATTTTAATTGCAAATGCAGTAAAACATATTTTTACATTACTTTTCTTGGAAACACTTCCTCGTATAAATGAGAAGAGTGTGTGTTTTTGTGGTTTCTTGGAAACCCGAGAGCGTAGCTTTATTTGTAATTGTCATCTACAGTTAATTATAGCTTGATGCATCCCATACATAAACAGTGTTACCTGGGGTAAACAGCACAACAGGCAGGGAGCTCTGGCCTCTCTGCTCAGCCCCAGAACAGGCAGGGAGGTGTACACAAGCACAAGGATCCAGCAGGGTGTGCATACACTCCCAGCTGAGTGCATCCCAGTACACCCCACTTCCCTCACTGGGGCTGAACCTGCGCTGCAAGCTCTCCCTGTTACTGCTTGCAGTGTGTCCTTTTAAAAGGCTCTGACATGTACTTGTGTGCTGCCTTGTGACTAAAGAGCTATTTGTACCAATATTTACTGCAGCATTGCGAGCTGAGCCTATTATTCATGCTTGCGGAGCACGGGGCTCAGGATGCCTTTGCTTCCATTCCCAATCTCCCTCCTCCCTCCATCCTCCCCACTCGCAGCCCCAGCTCTCCCTGCTCCCCTTAAGAAAGTGCCAAACGTGGGCTGACAGTGACCAATGTTGGCTTAATGTGGATGTTTAATAATGAAAGGAGTGTGTCGGTTCCAGCGCTGGTTACAAATGGCAGGAAGTGTATCGGGTGGCAGCCCTGCAATAATTTTACATCCATCATCCCTCTGATGCCTCGCTGCCTGCCTGATGGATGGGGAGAGTACAGTTAACTCTTAGGACACCACTGGGATCTGCTGAGCTGAAGTGGATTTAGGCCCTGCTCTCCCCTTGGGAAGAAGGGCAATATTGAGAATCTCAAACCAGCAGCTCCTGCTGCCTTTGAGAAATAAAACACTGCAGCTCACTTTACTGAGCACACATGGAGTAGCTGGTTTAACACATGACATTTAATTTTTTCTTGCAGTAGAGAACTTTGCTTCAATAACTTTTTTCCTTCCCCTAATGGCTAGATTTGAACCAGAAAGTCAAGAGAAAGTTGCAGGACAGAAGGGCAGGCAGGAGAAGAAAAGAGAGGGGCTGGCACAGCAGATGAACCCTGGGCTTGCTGCAGACACTGAGAGGCCGTGGGTCAGGCTGGGCTGAGGAACTTGGGATGACTGGAACTGGGACCAAGATCAAAATTGGTTTTGCCCAACACAAAGCAATAAACACTTTGATTTACTTCACCTGAAAGTTTATCCACTTATTATCTGTCCCCCCTGCCTTTTTTTTCTTTTTTGCCATTTGCTTTGTGGAGCTTGTGTATATTTATATTTACAGCCTCTGCATCTAATGGCCACGTGCCTTGTTTTCACAGATGGCCAGTGGAAGAACTCCCCTCCCCCTTTTCCTTTAGCAGAGCCTGCCTTTGGTTTTACTGCTTTTGTCACAGTGCCACTACTCTCAGTTAGCAAGTGCCTACGCATGGGAGGGAGAGATTCTGCAGGGAGG